AAAAAAAAGAAAAATGAAACCATCGAGTGAAAGACTGGCTGTTTTATTTGATACCGTCAAGGTTAGTTACAACCCATTTCAGCGTGGAGTGGCCTGTAGAAATCCAATCTAATTACTAGATAGATTAGCCAGTGATGAGCTGAATCAATTAAGGTCTTACAGTAACTTACTTAGTGGCTTCGTGTTGGCATTTTCTTTTCAAAATGGTTAAAACTAAGCATTATATTATGGGTTCCACGTGCCATAGCTGCAGAAATCAAATCCGGTCTCGGCATTGCCAGGACCAGTGAAAACATACTTGGAGTTACTTTGCCAGTTCTAATTCTCAATTTCTACCTCTTATGGTTGCCAGATAATTTTGGTGTTAGAGAATTTTTTTTCCTTCTATTTTAATGTATTGGGTTTTTATAGCAGCTGAAATCATTGTACTGTCTGAGCTACCTGGGAGCTCGTTAAATCATCACGCCGCAGCGTGGCTATGTTCGAGGGCCCTGGAACCTGACTTCCTGGTTCAAATTTCAGCTCCTTGACTTCACTAGCCGTGTGGCCTTGAGCGCGTTGCTAGGCTCTGTGCCTCCCTTTTCCTGTCTGTGAGTTGAGATTGGGTAATAATGGTGCCTACTTCGTAGAATTGTTAAATAAATTAGTTCACTTGTGTTTAGGACTTTTCTAGAGCATTGGAAATGGTCAATACATGTTAGCTGTTATGATGATCATGGAATTATTTATAGCTCGAGCCACCTTTATTCAATCAGTATTTCCCTTTTATGGATAAGAGGAATGTATACTGAAATTTTCCCAAAGAGTTCATAATAAAGAGCAGTGATGGGGGTGGAATTTCACTGGGATCTGGAAGGTTTTGGTGTGTAAACATTGGGTATAAGGCCTTTTCAGAGAGAGGAAATCATGTGAGTAAACTCTGATGGGAAGAAACCAGGTTTGTCTCAGGAATAGTAAGTAATTCGGTTCAACTGCAGTGTAAGGTGCCCCCTGGGGAGAAGCAGGAGATTCGGTAGGAATAGAGATTTGGGGTCAGCCCCTGGGGCCCTGAAATGCCAAGCCAAGGACATTTGATCAAGGACCCTTGAGGACCAGGATTCCTTCGGCCGGAAGGCAGAGAGGGGAAGTATTAGAGAGGGCGGGGACCAAGTCAGGGAGACCAGCTGGGAGGCTGTTGAATTATTGGGTATGGAGATGAAGAGGACGCAGCATTGGTAAGACTTCGGAGTTGGTGGTGGGAGGGGGGGTCATCTCACACGTGGGTCAGTGCCATTTACAGAAACAGGGAGCTCTGGAGAAGGGGTGAGTTTGGGAGAGAGGAACATGATTTCAGTTCTGTGAACATCGGTTTGAAGTACAGATAGGGAACCCGAGAGAACTGCCCGTATGAAAGAAATGCAGAGCGAGAAGCCAAGCGGAGCTCAGTGTTGGAGATGAAATTGGGAGAGGCATTTCCAGAGGTGTGGTTGTGCTAATGACACGGGAATACGTGCAGCTCCCTGAGACTGGCCCTGTGGACTCAGAAGAGACCCCCACGTTCCCTGGGTAGTGACAACTCAGGCGGATCCCAGGACACGCTGGCGTGCAGGAATTGCGCTCAGCGTCCGTGCGCAGGGCCCCAGGTGAGCCGCTCAGCGCTCCTCGTGCTTGCTCCAGGGCTTTCTGGTTTTTAAGCTTGTTCATGGACCAGAGGAGGGACGTTTGTTTCCATTCCCCCATCACATACTGATGGGCGGCGACTCTTGGGCTTCCTTTAATACTGGGAAGAGAATTAGGCTCAAATTGTGAAATTAAAAAAACTTATAAAATTTACACAAACTCAACCACAAAGAGAAAGCAGACTGAAAAAAGTAAGCAGAACCCGAGGGACTTGTAAGAAGTAATGAAAGACCTACCACTACTATCGCCAGCCTCTGAAGCAGAATTTGAGAAGGAGGGCAAGATTAAAAAGCAGCACAAGAAATATGGTTGAAAATGCCCCAAACTGGGCAAAAGACATAAGTATATTGATTCAGGTACCTGAACGAACTTCAAATAGTATAAACTTAAAGAAATTCAGACCAAGTCATGTCATAATTAAACTTCTGAAAACAGAAGACACAAAAAAATCTTAACATTACAATAAAATAGACATCTGTATAAATATAAGATCTCAATAAATTTACCTCCCATCCACCCTGTCTCAAGGATTTAGAGAAAAATGTGCTCCTCCAAAATAAGGGGATTAATGAAGAGAAAAATGAAGGAGTGGAGAAAGAGGTAAAGGAGACCTGCACAGGTCAGAGGGAGTCTCCAAGACAAGGTGGAAGGAATCTCGTAGACAACAGCTGTATGAGAGCCTGGATCACAATCAAGAGAGTTTAAAGTAGGTCACAAGGCTTCAAGAGCATCCTCGGGAAAATGAAAGTAAAAAAATACCTAAAATGTTTGAATGTATTGAGAGTCTTAGAAATAGGCAAAAGATCAGGTTTGCAACCTACAAAAGTTGTTTATAGAAAAGTAAATAAATGATAATTACTAATTCCAGAAAACAAAATATTAGGAAAGTAGGAAGACTCACAGTATATATATATATATATATATATAACATGGTTCTGCTATGAATATTATTTACCTAGTCATAATACTGTGATCCTAAACCTTGGTCTAACTAAAGACATGGTGGAAATTGGCCATGGGGAAAGTGGGACTAGAAGGCAGGGCCTGGGGAGAGAAGAGCACGAAACCCTCCTCCACTGCGGGCCCACACTGATCACACTCCAAATTAAGCAAAAAAAA